CAAAATCTGATTTCAAAAGGAACACATTTACCTTGGAAGATACTCTGCTTACTAGAAAAACAAGCAAGTCTCAAGTCCTGAATTCTGAGCTAACAAATATGTTCTTAAACTGAAGGTATTCTGAGTTCACAGGGCAATTTAAAATGTTGTCCATAATTTTGTGCACCACAGATAAAATACTACCATTATATTTCTGAAACATCTGCCCTTTCTTTGCATGAGTGTTGTGACAGTCAGGCTTAAACTGATCAGAATAATCAAATAACATGGTGATAGTACATAGAATAAACATTGCAGAGAACATAATATAATGTCTTTCATTAATTCTGCATAGCACATTCTCTGCTAAGCATGACAGTGAAATGCATGATGTTTTATCATGCAAATACTTTACACATTAAATGAACTGAAAATCTGATCAGTTCATTAACAATTATCTTCCTGCATAAAAGATCTCAGCTATACTTCTGTATAACAGACTATACAGTAAAGATTGCCTAAGTTTTAAGTCCACATCTGATAGAGTAAGCAGAGATAACTCTGCTTGTGCATGATATGGCATTCCTGGAACTTCTGATTCCTAGCAAAGATCAGTCAAGCTGGTTGGACTTGTAAGAATGGAGTGTTACAAGCCCAGGATGTCCCCTCATGGACAGAATATCAGTCTTCCTTACCTCTCTGCTTCTTAATGTGTGTGTTTCTGTACACACTGGTATGCAGTAGAGGACTTAAGGGAATGTTGTAACTCGTAAATAAGTAACTTGATGGGACACCTGTGTACAAAGAGCGTTATCTTAAGAACAACACAAAAGCTTTATCTGTAGCTTTGCCAAAATGAAGCAGTGTGTGTTGGTTGGCTGTTCTTCACACTGGGATTGGAATGTTCAAACAAGTCCCTTTAAGGTAGACTTAGAGCACTGAAGGGGTTTATGCGCTGCACAATTAGCCTGAATTTTTAGCACCAAGGAAAAGCCAGTCAATGTAATTGTGTTACAGCTTGGGAATAGCAGGTTTCCCCACTGGAAATACAGTGCAGGAGGTAGAGCAGTTACCAGGGGATTCAAAAAGTACTTAGATTAGTTTAAACAATGAAAAACTAGTTAATTGATTTCATTCATGACTTAAAAAAAGAAAAAAGAAAAAAGCTATGCCAGAGGTTCAGAATACAGTCACATTTTAAAACTGAACACCAGCAAATTGTCAGCTGGTGCCTGGCCAATTATGTATTTCTTAAGCAGATCTGTGCAGATAATCACATTGCTTACAAGGAAAGAAAGAGAGAAAAGGGTTTTTAACTCCGATATCTGCCTGCATTTTCAGTCATTCTTCTATCCTGAGAGCATCTGGATTGTAATGCATTGTGCTTTCCTTAATACCTTTAATAGTTCAGGAGAAGCATCCTACAAAAACTGCTGCTGGTAACATGCTTGGTTCTAAACAGTAACCTGCAACATGCTTTTCTCTGATGAAAAACAGACTCAAGCAAGGTTATGGGAATTCCCTAACCACAGCAACTTGCGCCTTTCCACACTGCTGAAAGTCAGTGCAGGTCAACTATGGTCAGCCACCCAACTCTTCTCAGGCTAGAGACATTGAACCTTTGGATATTCTCAGTACTCAAAAACTGTTATCTTGCACATGAGAGGTAGAATCACGTATACAAATATTCCAGCACTGAAAACGGATCCTGAGATGCTTGGACCTACAGCTGAAACATCTAAAAGCTTAGATCCAGCCAAGCTGAAGTCAGCACTTGCCTTCATATTTTCCTTCATTGCAGGGTTCAAGATACAAAACGCTGTTATCAGCATCTCATGTTAAGCTTGTAATATTTAATTTAGAATATTTGTACAATTGCCTTAAAAGCTTTTATGCATAAGGCACAATAGAGGTAAAAAAATGCTTTCAGTACGAAACTTTTAATATAATCCTCTGATTTCCTGAAACATGATTTCCTTCTGCCTATTTAGTAAGTCAATTAAAAAGAAGCTAAATCCTGACTTTAGAACTGAGTATCAGTGGCACTCACAGCTCAAAAATGATGCCACCCACAAAAAATAACTGAGTGAATACATTCAGATAAAAAAAAAAAAAAAAAAAAAAAAAAAAAAAAAAAAAACAAGATCTTTCTAAACAAAAGTTTGCACCAATAGCACATTTTAGTCACTTCCTTTCTCTTTCCTACTGCACAATGCTGTAGTACATTCTCCAGGCCTTGAGCCAACTGGGATGGCCTCATCCTATCAGCACTGCTAATGCCTCTCTCTGCCCTTCCAAGTCAGTGGCTATATGCAAACCACTACTGGAAGTGGTCACTAGCCTATGTTGACTCCTAAATTATACTTAGAGGTTGTCTGGCAGAATACTGCAATGGGCAGCATAATATGACAGCACAGGCAGGTGGGTTCTACAGCTGGGCATAGCCAAAGAGCAGATACAATTGTTGCTTGTTTGTTTGTTTTTTTAATAAAAACAGAAAGCAAGTAGTCATCTTGTATCAAATATGTTTTATAACTCATACATAAATCCACTATCAAGTAAAACTACAACACAGAATGGTTTTATTTCATAAATTACCCACTTCTCACTGGGTCAAAGCCCATCCTTATCCATTTAAGCACTTCAGCTGGTGACTTCTTCCTTGCACTGAAATCCTGATTGGATTACTAAAGCATCCTGTAGCAATTGGACAGAACAGTATGATGGGAAAGGCATTAACAACAAAGGAGTGACAACAGAAAGACTAGCATGATACAAAGATGCTATAAAGGAAGAGAAAATTGCTCACCTGTATCAGAAGATTCTAGGTTTGTAAGGGAAAGCTTCACTAAGGAAAGACCTTCAGAAAGAGACTCTTCCCTAGTGACAGTCAGCCACTAAATGGGGCCTAAAAGAGGTGCAGCCAGGCTCCACCCTTTCTGGTGATGCATGTGAATTGTCTTCACCTGTGCTCTCAGGGCTGACCAGTTCTTTTCCCTGAGTGCTCTATCAGTAGCTCAGGCCATGACTCAACAGTTACCATACACGTCTCATATAATATGAAAGAATATTTGCATAAAATGAAATCAATACCAGCCACACACTAATAAAACTCAGGCACTACTAAAATATTTAACTGGTTTATCTCACACTATTTAACAAAGGTGTAAAGTTTAACACCATTTTAAAGATGGAGAAATGGAATGAGAAAATTAAAGCAATGAGATTAAGGCCAAGAAGACAGCTAGGAAGAGACAGGAAAGAACTGGAGCTGTCTCCACATTGCAGAATTTTAGCCACATTCATGAGAGATTTATATCATTTTGGATAGAAGAGATTGAAACATTGGATTCTGCTCTGAGTTATATAATTTTGAGTTTTAAATCTCAGTTGTGATCTTGTCTGAGATCAGTCTCTAACTGATTTATTGTTATTTATATAAATACCAGTTAACAATGAGATACACTTCAAATCACAAGGAAGTGAGAGTTTGGTAAGAGGAAGATTAACACAACTAATAAAAGTTTTTTTACATAAGAAAGAGTAGGCAAAGAAAAGGACTTTTTATTTAGACAAATTAAAGAACCACTATGTTCAGCCATGGCCAACTGTTTAACCACAACTTTGTGATGAATTTGACAGAAACATATCCACTTTCTCCCAGAGAACTGCTTATGCCAAGTCTTTGGGAAAGGGGAATATGTTGTAGCCACAGAAGCTGCCCCTGATCATCTGGGAATTGCTTTTATACAGAGCCTATCAGCAATCCAGTTTTGTCTCATTGGAGTAGAGCAGAGTTGCTAAGCTGGCCTGGGGTCAGTGTCTTCGTATTACAGAAGAGAAATTTAGAGACTCCTCGAATGACAACATAAAGTAAAAAAAACACAAAAACAACCCTGATTTGTTGCATTCATATATTCTGCCTTCTATTTAAAGGAGAAAAAAGGTTTTGGATTGATTAACATTGCCAAGGAGGGATTTGGAAATACCAGAGTAGAAATGTCTCGCTTTGCTGTATTTCAAAAAGATAATTGTTAAGTAAACAGAATTTTCAAAGCAAGAGCTTTGCTCTACATAGCAAATAAGCACTTAATCAGGCATGTAAATGGAAGAGAGGCATCTCAGGTATTTTCTGAAGGTAATTTAGAGGCACTTAGGACTGCTGTTATGTGCTCAAGTTGGTACCTCAGGTAGACTTATAGAACTGGTCAGAAGAAAAAGTAGATAAAAGTTCTTTAGAGCTGCACTGAAGAGTAAAGAGCATTCTAGATGTGCCAAAATTGCTAGGAAGTGCTTTATATTTATTTTTCTATGTTATTCCTGGAGAAAAAGGGCTCTTTCTTTTTTTTTTGGTTAGTCACATGTGTGAGAAACAGAAAGATTCTTGCTAAAGCAGAATAAGGGTAGTAGGAAAAATCCCTGAGGAAGCTGTGTAACCAAAAAAGTGAATTATGCAGGCATATATTTGAAGTTCTGTATTCAGAAAGAAAATATGGCAAACAAGGACTATGAGGAAGTACTGGGAAGAGGATGCAGATATTCTGAGGGGAATTACTGTTGCTCATTTCTCTTCCTCAGCTGATCAGTCTGCTTTCGGGTGAAATACTGAGAAGATGTGATGCGTCACCTCTCCATCACTGCAAGGAATCTGTTTAAAGGCAGACTTCACACATGTAATCTGTTCATATCTGTTGCTAATATAGGTATGACTGGGAAGGATGCACTCCTAGCTGAGCAGGAAATATAGTGTCATTGACATGTTCTGTGACAGGGAGACTCTGAGGGCTGCATTTACCCATACCTTGTATCTTCTTCACTAGTGCTGCTGTTTGTGGGTCCACACTCCAACCTAAATGGCACAAGGCCACCTTTACATCTGGGGCTCCATCTTTTTTTGGGTACTGTTACAGGAAGAAGTCAAGCTGTTGTTCTCCAAGCAAAAGACTAAATGCACATGCTGTCTGGCAGTTCTCTCTCTAGCCAAAATATGATACAAATTCCCTTGGACAGTTTAAGTATGTATGACTTGAACTCCCTTTCTTCTGGTTCTATGAGGTGGAGGTCATTTTGCCAGGTTTTGTTTCCCAACTATACTTTTCCTATTTGACAGCTGTCACTGCCAGACTTCACAAATACTGCCAAATCTAATTTAGACATTTTTTCCTATGTATACATTAAAAATAGTTAGAATTATCATACTAGTGGTTTATCTTCAACTTCTTAATTCAAGTATTGTGAGGGAAAGTGATCTCATCTCCAAAATTGGATTAAATATGTCCAACTTAAGTTTTTTCCAAATTTTGCATTATGCAGCCTTAAAAAGGACTCAAATGAAAAACTAGTGGAATTTTTTTGTTAACTATTCACATTTTCAAATAGGAATAATTATTTGCTTATAGAGATAGACTCTCAAATAAATAAGGCTACATTCAATGAATAAGCTAAAATAGTCCCCAACATTTTACACATCTCTTCAAACAAAAACAACTTTTGTGCCAAAAAATGAATATAATGAGCACTTTGAGTAGACACAAACATTTAAAGTCAGGTTGAGACTTCAGTCCATGCAATGGAAGACACCACCAATGAAGTATATTCAGTCATTCTTAAAATTACAATCTATTATAGTTTACCAATAATTTTCTAAATCTGCCATCATAACCACATACCTCACTAAAAATTTTCATTTTTTTTAAGACAGTAAACCTGTTATTTTCTGAACACAAGACTGTATGATCCCTCTTAAGCTTTCTTTTCTAGCACAAATTCACTTGTAATACAGAGATTAATCCTCAAACAGTGCACATGAAGGTAAAACACTTTTACCCATCTGCCATTCTGTGTCAAAGTTACACTCCTATATCTACAAACACATCATTCACCTTTGTTTTTTGAGTGTTGCTTTCAGACTACATTTTCCACAGATTTTTTTTTATTTTTTTTTTTGAATCCTTCATGTCTGTCTCGTGTAGTTCAGTAGTTAGTGAGGTCACTAGACCGCTGGTCTGATTCAAGGTACATTTCCTGAGACCAGGCCAAATAAGACCATTTTAATAGACAATAGGTCACAAACTGTCCCTCCATTAAATTCTCTGTATTACCCTTAAGTGGTTGTGCTTATAAACTTGCAGCTATTGCTTTACATATTGTATTTAACTTAATTCTGACCAAAACACAATTTTCTGACTGCATTATAACAATAGAATCATAGAATCATACAATGGCATGTGTTTGAAGGAACCTTAAGAATCATCTAGCTCCAGTCCTACGCTGTGGGAGAAGTTGCCACCCATTAGATCAGGCTGCCCAGGGCCCCATCCAACATGGTCTTGGATAACTCCAGGGATGGAGAGCCACAGCTTCTCGTGGCAGCCTATGCTAGAGCCTCATCACCCTCTGAGTGAAAATTTTCCCCCCAACATCTAATTAAATATTCCCTCTTTTAGTTTAAAACTGTTCTCCCTTGCTCTATCACTATTAGTCCATGTTAACAGTCAGCCTCCCTCCTGTTTGTAAGCTCCTTTTAAGCATTGGAAAGCCACAATAAGGTCTCCCTACTGGAGCCTTCTCTTCTCCAGGCTGAACAAGCCCAGCTCCCTCAGACTGTCTTTGTGGGAGAGGTGTTCCAGTCCTCTGATCATCTTTGTGGCCCTCCTCTGGATACACTCCAATATAGCTGTATGACATTCATGCACCTAGACCTGAATACAATACTCCAGATGGGGCCTCACACAGTAGTAGTGAACAATCACCTCACTGGCCCTGCTGGCCATCCCTCTTTTGATGCAATCTGGGATACAATTAGACCTTCTGGGCTGCAAGCACACACTGCTGACTTAAGCCCAGCCTTTCCTCCATCAGGACCCCCAAGTCCTTCTCTGCAGGGTTGCTTTCAATGAGTCCTTCTCCCAGTATGTATGTATGTGTACCCGAGACTGCTCCAACAATATGCAACACCTTGCTCTCACCTTTGTTGAATCTCATGAGGTTCATGTGGGCTCACTTTTCAAGCTTGTCTAGGTCCCTTTGAATGGTATCCCTTCCTTCTTGGTGTGATCAGCAAACTCACTGAGGGTGCGCTCAATTCCACTGTGTTATTGATGAGGATGTTGAAGAACAGTGGTCCCAAGATGGACCCTTGTGAGACACCACTTGTGATCAGCCTCCACTGAGACACAGAGCTGCTGACCACAATCCTCTGGTTGCAGCTGTCCAACCAATTTTTTATCCACTGTATATTCCAACCTTCAAATCTACTCAAATTCTTTCCAATTTAGAGATAAGGATGTAATAATAACGCTCTCAGGTTGTTTTCAAAATATCTTACAGACCACTCTGTGCTGAATTCTGATTCTTTTTGATTCTTTTTTTGGGCATATTTGTCAATGATGAGTACCTGATAAGCTCCAGTCTCACACAACAATAAAATCAGGTTCGTCTTCAGGGAGGAAACAAGCCCTTTCTCTGTGTGTCTATACCTATGCAGAACTTTCCACTGGCCTTGGCTGGATCTCATAGTGCCAACTGTACAATTAGAATAATATGACACTGTGTGGAGAATAAGAAGCATAAATAAGTGATGTTTTTTTGTTTGAATGGCATATGCTTTTTAATAGATATAGGCTGAAAGTATGCTGGCCCTGCACTTAAAACATCCCAAGGCCTGTTCTTCCTGGTTTCAGAGATCTTGCTACTGTTATTATAAAAGTTAGAACTGGCTTTAGTTCCTGTGCCTTTTCAATTCTTGCGACCTAAAAAGCTGCTGACATTTCAAGTGACAAATCTAGGCTCCTCCAGTTCCCAGAAGATGAAGCATAGCTTCAGATAACATGTGAATCAGCTACTGCTGCCAAATGGAAATGGTGTCTTTTGGGGCTAAAACTTCAAAGAAAGGATCCTGTATTAGTAGCACTAAGTTTGCTGTACTTGCTGTTGTCTTGAACTTAAAAGCAGATAATAACGTTTGAATCTGGATATGTAGAAGATACCTTTCCTAACAGAACTCCCACCTCCCACAGGAAAAGATGGCTTGGCAGCTGAACTACAAAAGCTCTGTAATGACCTCTGTAATGTTTATTAGACAATGAAAAGCTGTGCAGGGGTAAAAAAAAAAAAAAAAAAAAAAAAGGCAATGCACGTAGGTGGCAAGGTGGGTGAATATTATTTCTACCTTTCCTTTCAGGTCCTCAGAGGAATCACTGGATATATAAATAAAAGCTACAAGCCACAAGAATTACTGGATATATAAATTAAGCTACAAGCCATTTCGCTGACTCTCATCAACCTTGTTAAGTGGTAGAGAATCAGGAGTTCAGTGCATTTATGCATTTAGAGAAATAAAGCCACTGATTGGTTTATTGGACAAAGCTTCTTGGTATCTGAAGCAGCAAAATTCCCTTGTTCTAGTGAAACTGCCTATGCTATTTCTCATTTCTCTCAACAGGGTACTCTTTTACAAACCTTACTATGATTGAGATACAAAGTAAAGGACAGGGTGGGGAAACACAAATTATGACCTATGGGAGAGATGTTTAAAGAGGAGAGAAATTTGAATACAAGTGTAAGTACAAAAGTGGCAATATAGATAAAAATACAGGTCACATCTACTCACCACAGTCACTCTTGTTTTTATTGTGGTAGCACCAAGGGACTCCAGCAGTGGTATAGATTCCCTCTGTGTTCACTAAGGCTTGAAGACAGATTACAAATGCCCTAAAGAGCTTCCAACTTTTAGGTACGGTTGAATTTTATTCAGTATCTTCATTGAATAATGTTTTTTAAAGAAGTTGCACTTCTTTGAAAGAAGGAAGACAGTAGAATATTTCATACCATCACAAAGGGAATTGTATCAGAAGCTACCTCTTATTCTGCCGCAAAGAGAGTAAATCTGTATTTATATCTGTTTTATTTTGATATCTTCAGAGATCGTGATATTTTCAGTTCTCTGGAAAGTACAGCCTTTCCCAATCCCCTTTTGATAAAATCTTATATAATTATGGAACAGCATTGTGTGGCTTTAAAGCAGAAGTATCCACTCTGTTCTGAAAAGTCTTGCATATGCTTAGGAGACTCCATGAATTATCTTCATCATCACAAAAAGAAGCATCCAATTAGAAAAAGACATCTGAAATTTAGAATGAGGGTATGGCATCCTATGGGGATTGGTAAAGCAAGGAAAAATCATAATAACATGTTTGTGTTAGGCTGGTCTACTATTTAGTACCCATGTGACCATGGATCAGAAATGTCTTATTCACCAAATAATGTTTTTGCTTTTGTGGTCTGGATACAGTTACAAATTTACTGTGAATGACAATCTTGGCATATAAATGGTTAGCAGATATGAGAATCTTGGCATATAAATGGTTAGCAGATATTAATTCCGGAATTTAGGCAGGTGTCTTGTGCAATCTGATATATTCTGTAAGTATTTTTCCATATAAAATGTCTCACAGAAGGCTTTACAGCTAATAGTCCTTTGTACATACACAAGAGGATACGAATTGCAATATAATCTAAATTTGGCATATGTAGACATAGTATAGGTAGAGACCAATGAATAAGGACCTACTGTAAAAGCAGATACTTGTAAATAACAGTTAATTAAGAGTTTATCAGCATGTCACTATGCAAAACAAACTCTAATATTTCAGTAAGGCATAATATTGTGTGCAAGCTCAGCTGTCACATCTTATTGGAATGGAGACTTATGTGAGGTGTAGACATCATGCTGCACATAGCATTATGCTTTATGTGGGAGTAGCAGAGTAGCAGAAGTATGACAGGGTGGTTCTGCAGTAAATCCTCATTACTACTTACATTTTGCAAAATTAAAGCCTTATGAAAATACTTGTTCCAAACAATCTCTTTAGGCTCCTTTTCCTAAAAAGAGAAAAAGTGAAGTATCAATTTAAGTATTAAGTATTACTTCATGCTTAGTAAAGCATCTTACTCTATCAGAAGATGGCTTTTCACAACGCTAGAAATGTTACTGAACAAAGGAACAATGTCAATGACTACTACTGGCCATTCAACAGTGTGTGCTAGTCACATCAATGTGAGGAATGCTCTCTTTTCATTTACTTTTCTTTCTGTCCTACAGAATTTCCATTTTCTTCACCACAAAGCAGCAAAGATTGCTTTGCAATAACTGCCTGATATTAGTATCATTACAAAAAATCTTGTTTTCAACTCTTCTAGAACTCTTGTCTCAGGATTGGAAGTTTTTTTACTCATGCTTGGAGATCTGCTGGTATGGAACTAAACAAGCAAACTGTATGAGAGTTATGAATTCTTTCAATATAAATATATCAAGAGAGGTGGGAAGGTGCAGGAAAGTATGTGTTTTTCTTGCTTCTACTGTTTCTTAAGCACGTAGTTATGGACATTGTTGGAGACAAACCCAATAAGGTTCTTCTATCATTATATAAAGAAATCTCTGAATTACAAGCTACTGGAGATCAGGATTTTCCGAGTCACATATACTTGTCCTGTTCTTACATTTTCATGTAGCTATTTGTTAATTGACCAGTGCTGGAGAGGTGCTACAGAGACTTTCTGATCTAGTATAGATGTTCTCAAACTCAAGAATACCTGTCTAACTCGGGATACTACCCTTTCAGTCACCATTTTTATCAAGACCATTCAGGGACATCTTCTAGTATATCTTTTTCAAACAACAGGTTATCTCTGAAATTGGTAATTTCAAAAAAAGACTGTGACTGTGGCTTGGTTCCACAGCTGCAGAGCTCTGAAATCCCCACACTGCCCACAGTCTCACAGAATAGAAGACCCTTAAAAAAAAATTATCTCAAAAATGTTAAGAACAGTTGTTTTCGTGAAATACCCTTTTATCATCAAACAATGTCTTTTGGTACAAATCCTGTACCTAAGATGTACAAATGTCCGCTTATTATGTGGCTTAAAATAAACAAACAAAGGACAACTGAAGATTTGTAGTGGGCCCTTTTGTTTAATTTCCTGAAAATACAGAAGTGGCTTCTTGGTGGGACTTTCCAGATGTATGTACTCAAGTCAGTTTTCTCTGAAACCACAAAAATGTCTCAAAGTTTATGTCTCTTTGTAGTTGCACATTTTAGAACATTTCTGATTCTCTGTTAGACAGAATTTGATGATGTATTACAGGAATGTGTACTTCATTTTTTTTCTTAATGCTAAAGCTAACAAAGGATGATTTTCAGAACATATCCAAGTCAGTCATCTAAGCTCTTTTTCAAAAGTAACTTCTGCATTCAGAAGCCTAAGTCCCAATGAAAATTTATGTAATGTCCTCATGAGATGATTAATCAAGGAGATAAATGTTTCAAGTAATTAACTGGGACTGTTTTCAAACTGGGATACATAGTGTCACCTGCGATCACCAACTAAACTTGCAGGAAAGGCTTTTTTCTACCAATAGTAATAAAACACCCAAAATACATAGAAAAAGTCTACAGAAATTACCAGAACAGGAATTAAAAATCAATTTTAATTGAGAGGCAGAGAGACTTGGTTTTACTGTCCCCTACACTGTGAGAATTATTTACATCCATGCATAAAAGCACAGTGAATGGGAGTAAGATTCTCCAAACCAAAGTTCCTTTTACTGACAGTAAGTAACAAAGTAGCAGACATCCAATTTTAGCATTCTCTACATAACCTCTACAGAAGTTCTTTTCATATTTTATCACTGAAATGAGTTCCTGGACTTTGTTAATGAAGACCTAGTTGACTATAAGATAATACAGTCAAATGGAAAAGAGAGAGAACATACGCAGAACTTCAGAACTAACAGCTATATTGGGGAAAGACATCACAAGTAGCATGACTAGGGAGTGTTAAAATCTCTTAATCTGAGTCTGCATTTGATTTTATACATAAATGATACAAAGATTGATTTTCTATATTATTCTAGTTTTCAACAGGATCATAAGCAAAACAATTTTTCAGTAAAGGCAGGCAGGAAGGAAGGAACTACCAGAAGCAGAGCCATTAAGGGCTTTTTTTCCCCCTCTTCTCCTCAAAATAGCGCAAGGGAAATAGCAGCTGAGTGAAGGAATCAATTTGAAGAAGTTTTCAGGAGTTTGCAGGGAAATTGATCAGTTATGACTGCATGTACTTGTCAATTTTTTGGTACAATTTCCTGAAGTAAGTTGCAAAAGCATAGTCACTTGTTGCTCTGATAATAGTTTTTACACTCATTTTGCTATGTTAGCTCTTGCTATCTGTCTCAAAATAGTGATAAAATTCCAGGTTAAAAAAAAAATAAAAAATTCCTCAGACCAGGAAAACAGAGCTATTTTTGGATACTACAATTTCACTACTGTTTTTAAGCATGTCTGAACATATGGCTCAGATTTTTTGGCTATTTTACAAAAATCTTGAGTGTATCTGATACAGAAATGGTCTAATTCATCTGTGAGATGAAACTCAAAGAATGTTTACTCTGAAATTCAGTATATCTTATAGCCTGATTCATAAAATAAATATTTGACAGATTTTTGTCTCCAGGAGAATATGGCACAAGTTGTACTCCTACATTTGCAGAAGAATGGTTGTCAAAGTCTATACAGTTCTCATAGCTATCAGAAAGTTGCTGTCAGTGGGTCAGTGTTCAAGTAGAGACTGGTGATAAGTGGCATTCCTCAGGGATTGGTGTTGGAACTGGTGTTATTTAACACATTTGTCGGAGACATGGACAGTGAGATTGAGTGCATTTTCAGCAAGCTTGCAGATGTCAGTAAGCTGAGTGGTGCAGTCAACACGCTAGAGGAAAGAGATGCTATCCAGAGGGACCTGGACAGGCTTGAGAGGTGTGCCCATGCCAGCCTCAGGAAGTTCAACAAGGCCAAGTGCAAGGTTCTACTGCTGGGGCTCTTCACCTTGGAGAACAAAAAGTCTCCGAGTAGACCTTATAGTGGCATTCTAGTACCTGAAGGGAACCTGCAGAAAAGCTGGGGAGGAACTTTTTATAAGGGCAGGTAGCAACACAATGACAAAAAATGGCTTTAAACTGGAAGAGGGTAGATTTAGAGTAGATATCAGCAAAGAATTCTTTACTGTGAGGGTGGTGAGACACTGAAACAGGTTGCCCAGTGAAGTTGTGAATGCCTCTTCCCTGAAAGCATTCAAGGCCAGGCTGGATGGGACTTCGAGTAAATTGGTCTAGAGGAACGTATCCCTGCCTATAGCAGGGTGTTGGAACTAGATGATCTTAAAAGTCCCTTCCAATGGAAAGCATTCTGTGATAGCTATGTAACACACCTCACAGATTTCCAGGAATCAGACTTATGTACCCTTGAAGCCTACTGTACATACTTAATAGAGCAAGTATTTTTGTAAGTTTCTAGTAACATTATCACTTTCTTAAAGAATTCTAATTTTTGACAAAAGAGTCCAAACTGGATGCTCCAAATCCCTTGTAACTTGCAAAAATTTGTCTCTCAACATTATACTTCTAAAATAATGTCTACTGCTTTAGACTGAACAACAAGGAATGTGTCAGTAAAGATGAAAGTCTTATTAACAATGTGGTACATACTCAGTCTTGAGATGCTGTAATCACAGTTTTGTTTCTCTGTTACACGAAGTGTAGCGATTTATTCCTACGTAGGATGAATATGAATTTATACCAAATCTGAGTTGCACTTTACTAGATGCTGACATTCTATTCTTGGGTTAAACTTCTCAGCAACACAGACTAGGAAGTCTTTATTCAGAGTGAGATACAAGGGAAGGTTCTGGAGACAGAATAAGGCAGATAAGTTGCAAAGATTTTCTCAATGTATGACTGCAAAACTTCTTTGCCAACAATTACACCCATCTTTATAATGATGCTGGTGAATCCTCTTCACAGCAGCTGCAGAGGTAGCTTCAAGGAATGTTTCTGCTCTAATAGTTATCTCCTTTTTTTTTCCTTTCTTTTCTTGTTTTCCATAGAGAAATCCAGAGAGGATTGTGATTCAGAGAGCAGCTGATTGATTCACCTCTTCCTGTTCTCACTCAGAGGCCACAGTACATAAGCAGAAGGTCACAGGCCATATGGGATGGAAGCCATGCTCCAAAATAAGTACTTTCCTCAGAATGCATGCAGAGAGGAACATCAAGATATGTGCCTCTTCTTGTGTTCAATTCAACACAGAATTTGGCTTGAGTGTAGCAGAAACGTTTTTGGACACTGAGTAATATCACAATTCCACAGTAAGCAAGTAAAAGGAAGTAGTGTCATTATATTTAATGACTCCTACATTTAAAAATATCTGTGAAAATTCTTGACACAGTAAGGAAACACAAAACATACAGCAATTGTTTGGAATTGAAATTCATATACGAATATTCAAGAAAGTCTGGGCTGAGTTTATATCCAACTCAAAATATATATAATAATATATATATATTATAATAAATATATGTATAATATATATTTCCCTATGCTTTACAGGCACTTGGATCTAGTATGTACGTGACTACCCAAAGCAGGCAGAATTGTTTAATTTAGCTTTCTATATACAACCTGTAGGTTAGGAACAGCGGACAGTACTCTGCAATTTTACTGATTGTTGTCTGTTTACCATAATTACAGAGATATTTTAAACTTCCGCATTTTGTTGTAGGCATAATATTAGGTAGGGAATAGCAGCAGAACATTTTGAGTAGTCTGTTATTGTGGATACATCCTGAGGACTAGCTGATGCTATTTTTAGTCACTATGTGGTTAACTGTGACTAGACTGAGGATGTTATTTTTTTGTTCAGTGTTTGAAGTTGCAAACATTGAATTTTGCAGTCTGAAATTGCTGAATTAAAAAAAAATATATCTGATTTTTAATTAAAAGTTATGAGTATGCACACAGATATTTTCCTATTACTGGTCTATATTGCTGTAGCTCAATTAAATTCATTTAAGTTTCTGTTGAAGTAAGTCAGCTGAATAAGATAAAAACATAAGTTCATAAGCCAATTCCAATATATCCATTATTAAGGCTATATCCTTAATCTATGATTTATACATATGTAACCGTATACATTTGTGTGTGTATATATATGTATATATAAATGTGTATGTATGTATATATACATGCATGTAAGTGCTGCCCTGAAAGTAATGCCTCCTATTTTATTATGTTGGCTGACAAAGTCAGAGGCAGATGGTGGTGGTATGGCAGTAGAGGTTGAACCTTCCCACAGATATTCCATGACATGTTGCCAAGCAACAGATGGCAGCAGAGAGGCAGCCTGACAAAATGATGTCTCACACGGAAGTGGGTATGAAGCAAAGCAGTGGAACTGAATTCCTCCCTGTGGAAAAAAATGGCACCCACCGACATTCACTTATGCTTGCTTGATGTTGGTAGAAATAGAATTAAAGAAAGAACATTGTAAAGCAACTGAAATTTAAGAAAAGTATACACAAATCAGGTGTATTCACAATTATTGGTCTGTACAAAGGACTTACAAATAATTTAAAAAATGTTTTAAATTCATTTGTATTCTTATTTGCAAGGACTTGATTTAACATTTTGGACTAAGCTGTGACTGCCATAACCTCCTAATTTTGTGGCTACCATAATTAGCAGTTACAATTGCAGCCTCTGTTCTGGGAAATTCAGGAATTTCTTTTGTGCAGGATCAGTAGCCCAGAGGCATGATGAGGTAGAGAAGGAAACAGAATCATGCTGCCACTCCATTTAAATCTAAGATAAATAAAATCTTTGTCCTATACTCTGTGTTGACCATACCCATATGACCTTGTAACGATTCCTATGCTGTTCAGAGCCTAACAGAAAACTTGGCTGTATTTTGTAGAATCTGGATAGCTGACATTGGCAGGGATTTCTAGGCATCTTCCAGTCCAGCTCCCTGCTCAAGCAGAGCCAGCTACAGCAGGTTGCTCAGGGCTTTGTCAATTGACTTTTGAATATCTCCAAGATGACCCCTCTGGATAATTCACTCCATTATAGAAAGGTTGTTCTTATGTGTAAATGGAATTTCCTGTATTTCAATCTGTGACCATTGTTTATTCATTGAGAAATACTGCAAACAGTCTCGTTCCACTCTGACCCTACTCCTCTCTAGGCTGAAAAATCCCAGTTCTCTCACACCCTCCTTGCACGGCAGATGTTCCAGTCACTGAATCATTATCATGGCCCTCTGCCAGACTCAATCCACTAAGTCCATGTCTCTTGTACTTGGGCCTAATACTCCAAATATGGCCTTTCCAATACTTAGTAGAGGGAAAAGTTCATGTTACTCAGCCTGTTGGCAATGCTCTTCCTACTGTATACCAGGATGTTGTTTTGGACTTCTTTGCTACAAGCCCACATTGCTGGCTTTTATTCAACTTGTCTGCCAGTACGTACAACTGAGTTTTTGCAAAACTGCTTTCTAGCCAGTTGCCCCAGCTTGCACTGGTTTACAGAATTATTTCTCCCCAGGTGCAGGAGTTTGTACTTCACTTTTTGGAACTTTACAAGATTCCTGTCAGCCTGTGGAGATCTTTCTTAATGGCAACACAATCACCTGTTGTGTCAGTTGTTCCTCCCCATACTGTATTAGACTGCAAAATTTCTGAGGGTATCCTTTGGTCCCTCATCTGTACCATTAATGAAGATATTAAACACTATGAAGCATTAGCTGTGGCTCTTAGCGGTAGTTGTTAGAGTTAGGATAGTATGGTTAGGCTGTGGTTGGACTTGATCTTTAAGGTCTTTTCCAACCTGAGCAGTTTTAGGATTCTATGACCACACTGAGAAGAAAATTAGCCTGGAAGTGGCTGCAATGGGTAATGATTATCTGCTTCTGTTTGTTATGAAACATATGACTTTATAATTGCTTCCTAAAAATGATCATTTCTCTTCACCATCTCCCCCTATTCTCCTTCTCTTTCCGAGCAGGAAAAGTCATATAGACTCATTCTTATCTGAGAAACCTTCTTCATTTTTCTTTGTAATCGTTCTTCTTCATTGTCCATCTCATTTATTGTACTTGGCCAGTACACCAATGTCTACCAGCTGCCAGCTGTTAAAGGAAAATAAGAAGATGCATCCATGCTGAATTGTTTCCCTGTCTGTCATGAAAACAGTTTGCATTCCACACAAAAAATTCATTCGTGGTGTAAGGGAATTGACGTCAGTACTGTTACACCCAGAATGATTTTGGCCCTGCATATTCATTATGCAATACTTTCAGATGCAGAACTCCATCATGAACAAATGACTGCCAGATGTGAGAGTAAGATCTGCTCCTTTTTGTGAGGTCTATGAACATATTCCCATATGTGGACTGTAAACTTTCTCAGTGTATAAATCTATATATTCTTCAAGAATAACTATGCGGAAAATATTTTAAATATCAATATAAAAAACAATATAAAAAACAATAACAAATAAAAACCTATATTTATTGCTTCAAATTCTTCAGTATTTGAAAGTACACTAAACTGAGAAGAGTTGTTGACTCCCTCAAATGTGGAGAGGTCTTGCAGAGAGATCTTGACAAATTAGAATGTCTGACGACAAGATAGAAGGCTGTACAAAGACACCTGTATTTAAAGATGATCTTGTATTTCTGCATTTATTCATATAAGCAAGCACCTGAAAGTCCTGCATATTCACTTCTCCTACAAATTACACCTTGATCTCTTGATTCTGGAGGTCATCATAATAAGGCACTTTACAAGGATATTTGACCAAACAGTGTTTTCCTTCCATTTATTTCTTCCCTTTATGGTAAATCTTTTGGATTGCTGGTTCTCCTTGAAAAGATCTTCTCACCTAAACAATTAATTTTACAATTGCTTTTTCCTTCCTACTTCCTAGGATGCTAATACTACCAATATTGCCTTTTAGCAGTTTACTGCAGAAAATAAATAGCTCAAGAGGAAACACTCTTTCCAGCTTGTGTTTTCACTGTTAGCAAAGATGAAACCTGAATAAAAATGTGTGTGATAAGTGGAAAGCATTTTTTGCACTATCCTCTGTTTTAATTTGCTCTTTGTTCTAATCCTTTGCCCAAGTACCAAACACTTTGGATTCTCAGTATTTATGGCTGTGATCAATGTATCACACATGCAGTTAATTCTCATACTGCATGCAACTGCATGCATGCAAAAGTCAACACATTATTGCACGACTTAGACTCTGCTTGCAGTACATTCAGCACTGAAGCTCAACCAATCTCCAGCACAGACTGGAGAGATTAAACTCAATTTAAATCATGTCCAACCTCTTGGCTTGCTCAGGCAATACTGAGTGAAGAGGAATTGTCTTGAGCCGCATATGAAATACATAACAGTGTACATACGGTTAATGTATTTAAGTGGCAAAACTTATTTTAAAAAATATTTTTAAATTCTGTTGTTAAAACATAAAAAAGAGGACAACAAAAGATAAAAGTTTGGTTTTGTGAAAACTAATTCACAAGTAAGTTGAAACACAGCACAGGTAAGTTGATTTTCACCTTAAAGGTGCATGTTTAACTCATTTAAATGATCGGTCAAATATGTAAAAAATGCTGAATCTGTGAGCCATTTTTCATCTTCAAGTTCTGGCACAAATTTTCCTTCTGAATCCATAAATGGCATATTTCATTTTGCAAATCATACAATTTTTTTAAGCATTTTATCCTGGCTTAGACACACTGCTTCAGAAAAGTAAATGATACTCCTATAATCATCATCTACAGTTTTAAAGGAACTCCTGGAACTGGCAGAAACACTAATTAAATACGTATAACTAAACTGGTTAAAAACATATTGCAAATTATTTTATATTCTTTATGAGTTTTTTTTAGATGTTGAGAATTACAAAATTTTCAGTGCAACTGAAGTACTCTTGATATTTCTTCCACAGTGAATGTCTTCTGAAATTATTTTACTCAAGCCAGAGATTAATAATTAAATAAGAAAACTTACATGTCTGCTTGATGACAAAAAACTCGTGTCATCACAGGCACATATACATGTAGGTGGTTCGAAATAATATTATTGGCAATCACTGTGTTTTGTTTGCCAGATAGCACAAGCGCTATCTGGCACAAGTGCTAACGTAACGCACAATGCACGAGGGTCCTTATTTGACTGAGCATGTGTGGTGGGCACCAGAGGCAGAGTTAGCACTGCACTGTGCCCTCCCCTTCACAGAGTTCTATTGTTGCATATACAGCCTGAATTCAACCTACACACAATCAACTCATGAAAAAATATCACTAAAAATCCCATAATTATGCCAAAAGTTTAAGATCTTATTGGTCTACATTACCAACTGTTCAGGGCTGCATGTGGCCCATAGACCACAGAATGGACATGCCTGGTGTAAATGATAACAGCTTAACCTGACTGCATGATATTAACAGTAGAGTATGTCCCATTCCCACTGGCCTCGCTGTTTACTACCTGTGTTTTAAAACCAGACTAACTGATAAGAGGATTTTTACAAGTAGCACTATTCTTGAACATCATATTCAGCATGTGGTAAATACAACAGCATGAATCAATAAAAAAAATTATATTATTAAACCTTTCCCAGACTTATTAATAGTGGATTTTGGCTTAAAATACCCAGACCACTAAAATTACTCAGTTATCCTAGATATGTACGTGCCTTACAGTTTCTGCTATTCTGTGTACACATTGAAGTTTATGGAAATTCAAGGGAATTAGCAAAAGTAATATTTGGACAGTAAACAGCAGTAGAAGGTATGACTTTTCAATATATAGTGCTAGTATATGTTTCTTTTCCTGTACCTTTCACCAACAAGACATCTCTCATTGCATTTCTACCTCAGCCCTGCTATCCAACCCAATATTTAATTTTTATGGTCTTAATGCAAATAACAAAAGAACCTTACAGATTGTCCCAGTGATATATACTTTTTTTTTTTTTTTTTAAACAAGATTTTAGCGTGCTAAATTTTGGAGAAATTCATCCATAAACCTGCCTGAAGCTTTGAATCTTCATATAGAATAAGGCTGAAGTAACCTTGAATTTCTCAATTCAGGAACTTTCTAGGGTTATCTGGTTTAAGGTAGAATATTATTTAAAAGATTTCTGCTTTCCAATGAACCATGCAGTTTTTCCTCACCGTTAAGACAAATACTGAATATAGGCAAAGCATTATTTCTATACAATTTTTCCTGAATTATATTTAGTTATTAAGCTATTTTGGAGAGTTGGACTTGGCTTGAGTTATATGCAAAAACAAATGCCACTAAGAACTTCAGGTCTGTGATAAATCTGCACCAGACTATCCCTGGAACAAGAATGGAGGGTTTTGGCACAGATTCCATCTGTTTTAAGAATCAGGCAAGAGCACACCTGAAAATAATCCTATGCAGCTGTTGCTATTTCTGAATGCAAAGCCTCCTTCTTTGGGATTATGTCTTTATTACAGCTATGAAAAATTGTAGAAGATTCATGGGAAATAATTACAATAATTAAAACTTTAAAGCACTGCTTCAGATAGATTGCTCAGGCACAGAGACATTTAAGCTTGCTGTAGGAAGTGTATATCTTTTCAGTCAGAAAATATCTTAAATAAAACATGCTTTCCATGCTTATCAGAATTACTATTTATAACTATTTGTTTCTCTTCACTTTTTGACTGGAGAGGTGCATTCTATTCACGACACAGAGAAGGTAAGACTCTGAACGAAGTAATGCTAATGCAGTCATTCTTTAACATACACTGGGATGACGAAGGCAACAAAACCCTCTCTGACAGCAGGGCAAATAGTTTGAGAGATCCAAAGCAGGGAAGTTAACAACAAGGAAAGGGGCATAAAACAGAACTGCAGAAGCAGAGAATCCCCATGTGAAAATCACTCTTGGGTGGCTCAGCCCATTCTATTTTTCACCTTAAATGCATATATGTCTGGAAAACATATCTCCTTAGAGAAATGATCAGGCAATAGAAGGTCAACATACCTAAGCTGAATTCAATCTTGAGATTTATTTCTAGTGAGTGTTCTACATCTGTATGAATAATAGCCAGTTCATCACAATATTAACAGCCCAGAGCCCTTCAAGAACAATCCAAAACTAGAGCAGCAGAGGAACTGTGGAAGAAGTTAGAGCACCAGAGCTCTGGGAGCTAGGGAGTTGTGCAACACATGCTTGCAATACCATTGGCTCTAGATACCACTCTGAGACCATCCATTTCCAAGTTTTCTAAAAAAAGTGGAATATAAAAATGGTAAGACATAAGCAGTGGTATTTCAGCAGAACTCCCTTTCCTTGCTCACAGCCATCATACAGTAACCAGTTTCTGAGATGATATATTTGATATCCTATGGAACTTCAGTAGTTGAAGTCAGTGGAGTTATTTACAGTATAAATCAGACTCAATCTTGCTCTGTTTCCTGTAGTTTTAATACAGTTATTACTTTATTTCTACAACTAATTTCTCACAGCTGTAGTATTTATTCAAAATCCTTGGCTGCTTGCTTCACTTCTTTCTGCTGCCTGTACAATTTGATCCTCTGGAGTATACTACTTCAAAACTGCAACACACACACACCAGTTGAGGGACATTTTTCTCCTTATTGCTCCAAATGAAATGATTTCTGCTCAGGTAACTAAATATAGATTTCCTATATACATACAGATAAGATAAGGTACATATAGATAAGATAGATACACGCTTATTTATCTATCTTTGTCAGTACATATATAGAAGAACGCTCTCTGACATCAAGACCACAAGCAAGGGGCCTGAACAGAAGCCAGAGTGTAACAGATTAGACATTACAGACCATCAGTGAGGTAAAGGCCAGTAGTTTATCAGCTCCTCAGTGTTATTTTTGTTTGTCATGCTAGTATTGTTCTAGGTCTCTGATGTGTCAACTGCAGTCAGGAAACTAGTCAACAGTGGTGTGCCCTTGACAAAAAAGTACATGTAGTAACAGTAAAAAATAATTACTTTGAAGATGGAGTAAGAGCAGTAATTGTTCATTTCTCGGGTGCTTGTGGAGAAATCTGTTTTTAGAAGCAGTAACACTAAAGGAATGACCTAACAGCAGTTTCTCATCTTCTCTCTTTGTTCAAATTTTTGAACACAAATGTTCAAGATTCAGCAAGTATTTAAGTCTTCATTTCAAATAGTAATATAATGTAAACACATACTTAATTCTAAATGTGAGATTTGAAATATCAGCACTCTCTTTGCACTCACAACTCCTTAATCACCTTAATCAAAATAATCCTATGTGTAGGATAGCTTTTCATCTGTTTCCTGCAAACTTATTATTTTTAGGTATTTATGGCTCTAATCCTACAGATAGCACCTCAGGTTTGTCAGGTTCCTGGATAGAAGCTCAATCTGGTATTCTCTTAATCTTTCTGCTTAATCAGTTTAGTTTAACATCTGCTAGCTTGGATTCTAACAATGTTTTACTAAATAGTGACCTGTGGTAGCCAACTCAGAGCTAAGACTTTAAATGCATTTTGCCATGGATAAGAATTAGACAAAACTGTAAAAGTTCAATTAACTCATTAAAAATCTTTTCCCTAATGTTTACAAGGACCTCAGATATTTTGTGGCATTTTTGTCACATATATTTTTTTAAATGTACATGAATTACTCTATATTTTGTATGTCTTTATATATCTATCTTTATTGATATAGAGATGACCTCTATATGTATACACATATATGTATATATAACACACTTGAAAATTTATTTTTTGTTGCTAGTGAAATCATTATTTGCCATTGCAGAGATCCGTGTCAGACCAGAACAGAAAATCTATCGTAGTTGTCTTTTCAACTTCCAGGAAAATTCTCAATTTCTTTTGACAACTACTCAAATTTTCTGCCAATTTGATTCTTTCTCTGATGCCTGCTGAAATCTGACAGACCTCCTTTAGTTTTATAAGTTTGTCTATTTTACAAGTTAGCACCATCCCTCTCTGATTATGTTGTTTTAATCTGCTTTTATCTAGAAGTAGCCATGAAACAACTCTATGTCTATGTCTATAACCCTATCCAATTTAATTTTTATTTTTTATAAGTCGAATTTTCATATGTCAAATTATCTATTTTTTGTCTTGTGTGAGGCAAGTGCAAAGTGATGATAATTAGCAACCCATACCTCAAAGCTGTTAAAAACTCCATTAGTTTTATAGTGACAGGGTGATCCAGTCATGGCTTTGGACATGCAACAGTTAGAATTTACTAGCTGCTGACCACTGCTCAGTTCTTAGATGCAGCAGGGGTGTACGCTGCCTTAGGACATGCTTTGATTTCATGTGCTTCAGCAAAACTGGAACATGAGACAACACAGATGATAACAATATCTCCTATCACTCATTAAATAGCATATTTTAAATTTGGAGAAAATTTTGCATTAAATGTTTCTCATTACTATTGCCAATACAAAGCTAATGTGTAAGACAATGGTTAGCACATTAATCATCCAGAGAGTAGAGGAAACGTCCTAGCACAGCTGACTAAGCTGAGGGATTCTGGAGAATGTTTGCACCATGAATTAGTCACCCTTTGACAGTCATAGAACTGGCTTGCACTGGCAGAGAGGTAGCTGGCTTTGGAGTTGACTATTTTTAGTATGAATACATAAAGATGACTAGCACTGCATCATGACTTGGAGTTAACAAGTAGCATTTGTCAGAAATGCAATGTTCAACGGAATTTAAGAAATATAAGTGATTGCATCTATGTCTAACAAATTTACCACTGAGAGGAAGTGATTTAGCACACAGGACAGCATCTAGGTATGAAGAAATAATGAGTTTGTGAACAGAGAGAAACAAATGTGTCTCAAAATGGTCATCAAAGAACAGAAAATAATGAAATGAGCCAGAAAGATCATCCTATTACAAACTGTCCCGCTATCTATCATTGCACAAGTTAAAAATACGTACGGTAGAAGTAGGTGTATGTATGAACTGCATCACATCTCAACAGGGTGGGAGAGACTTGAGAACAAAGAATGAAGGGTGCACTTTGTGTTAAGTATAAGAAAGATATGAAAGATATAAAGCAGTTAGATGAGGTGTTGAAGAAGACATATGAAATACATCTGCCTCTTTGTGCTGGTACACTTTTTGCCAAGCAGAATAAATATTATGAAGACAACAATTGGTGCCTGAAAGAAGGAACAGAAAAAAAAAAACAAAACAAACCAGTATAAGTAATATGGAAACCCCTAAATTACTCAATCTTCATGTACAGAAACAATTCATATTTCAAAATTCAGAGAGGAAGTTCAAGTTCAGCTTCTAGTCCACAAAGGAGCTGAGCAATACTTGGATAGAGCAGAATATAGAATGGTAAAATACTCAACCAACTTATATGACAATAAGAGGGGGAAAAAAGAAGAAATAAAAGGAGTTGTTTGAGAGCAATAGATATAAGCTGTCATAAAATAGAAATATTATTTCCTATTTCACATGCAAATTGCCTGCAGATTTGCTTCTTTTGCACTAATTCACTTTATTCTAACTTAGATTATTTGAGGAGAAACGCTATTTTATCACCAGCAAGTACTGACTACATAAGGGAGCTTGTTCTTCACACTCTGTAGTACTGCACTAAGAGTAACCGCCTGTGGGGAATGCATGGTCTCATTCTCACCTGAAAACCTTTGCAGTTGCTGGCTTCACAGCACTACTTGAAGCAGACCTGATTGATCTTCTGTTGAAATAATAAAATGTAAGCATCAAATCCAGCTCACTTGCTATGATTGTTCTGGTCAAGATATGCAACTGGCTAAATAAAGCTAAGTGAAAGGCAGAAATTCTGTCTCAGGTTTCACTCCACGTAATTCAGTTATTTTTGTATCATGGTCAAGGTAGATACTGGAGCGAATGTGATCTGTGAAATCCACACTACAATTACGACATTTTGGATGGTTTTTCCCCACTTATACTGAAGGGTTGTGAAATAATTATTTTCCCTGAAAAATCATCTTTTTATCAGAAATATTACCAGCTGTTTTTTTCTGTATATGAGAATATAGTTATTTATATTAGAAGGAGGATGCTTCTACTTGAAGTGACATAAATATTCCTTCTTTTTAAAATAAATAATAAAAAAGGCAGAATATAAACTGTCACAGATGATGAAAAGATGAAGGTCTTCAGTTCTGTACAGCACATTGTTGGGCTGCACTGAATGTGAAGAATCCTGCCATCTCTGCTTTGAAGAATATATTTTGGAGAGCATACACTAAACAAAGCTGCACTGTAAATTTTCTGGCATTCTGACATAGGTCCAAATACATACAGTGGACAGATAAGAGGAAAAGGTTCCTTTTCACTGTTGCCTCACCTTTGCATCTGGACATGTTTCAGATATAGCACATAAAATAGGGTTTCGGTAACCAGGCATGCCATCCTTCCCACACAGGAGAATGATGACCAAACACAGCACAAACTGAAAATAGAGCTCAGCCAGTGAGTCACTCGTTTGTGACATTCTCTGCTATGGCATGAGAAGAAACTTCAGCAAATTCTTTTTCTGTCATATTCAGCCATGGAGCTAATTTCAAATGAAGCCACACACATATCTGACACACCCAAACCCAGACTTCATTATGAGGGACATTTCATGTTTTAGACCCAAATTTACATCAGGCATGTAAGGACACAGTGTTCTCTTTTCTATTATAGTAAACTACTTGCAGGAAAAACACTGAATCATAAAGTTCAGGTTAAGAGCTTTCCTATTTAATTTTAAACCCTTTGCACTCTTCTCTTGTACATTCACTTTAGGATTTTGACTAAGTCATCAGTCCTGATTACAAAGCCTCCTTTAAGCCTTACAGTATATTAGAGATAACTTAAATACATTATGTTGTAAACTCCCTTCTGTATAAACCTTGACTCAAAAGAAATGTTTTTTGTCCTCAATAATCAGTATGAAATAATGGCATTTGAGCTCATTGGTGATATATCTACTATTCCAGTTATCAAAAAACTAGAAAACTATTTTGGAATGGCTAGACTATTGTAGCTTTGTAAAAACTAGACTATTTGCTGTTTACTACTACTTTTTTTTTTTTTTTTTTTTTTTTTTTTTTTTTTTTTTTTTTTTCCTTCTTCCTGAATAAATACTTTGGAAAGCAAGGTTTCCTAAACAGCATTTCTTCTTCTGGATACTTCATAACCAGAACTTACATATTTGGCACTGCACTTTAGCCACCTCTGAGCTGAAACACAGAAGCTACTCTGGACTGGTGTTAAAAATGTTTACTTTCAAATTAAATAATAACTAATGTTCTTTTATCACGCCTGCCTTTATCACATATTAGCTATTTAGGAGACTGAAAAACCCCTATCAGCATTATTTTTCAGTAAACCAAAACCTGTATAAAGATCTGCCCTCATCATCCTATAAATACTATTTGTCTGTCAGACTTAAGACAATTTTTCATAATTCTCCAGATGTCCAACTTCAATTACTGTAAACTCAGACAGGTGTGACTTCTTAAGAAGCGGATGATCCAGAGGACCTGAGGGAAAAGAAGAAAGCTCAGGGGAAAGAGACTGTTCTCCCAAGTTGTGCAGATTCTCTACATGGATCTAATTTTTGTTCCTGCTGCTTGCTTCCTTTTCTATTGAATCAGTTTGTGCCTCCATTTTTCACACTGAAGCTGTGCCAGAAGGTGGACTGAGGCAAAAAATTCGTATAGCATCACTTTCGTGATAATTAGTGGCCTAGAGAGATACAGTAAAAATCATATTGCACTGTACTACCTGCAAACTATTTTTTACTTTCATTAAGTGTTCACAATAAAGGACATAAACTGGAAAAGAGGAAAGAAGTTTGATTACATTGCTCTTACTGTTTTTAGCAGTAAATGACATTGATTCATTTCCTTTGCTATAACATTTTATCATCTCAGTGAATGCTCAGAGCTGAGCAGATTTCAAGTGCATTGTAGAATCAAAGAAAGAGCATCAGCTGAACCATAACCACAGTGTCTTAAGCACATATGCTTGACAATACACGTAACACATTACTGAGTCACACAGAATGGCTAAACAAATATTTTTGCTCCAAATTTTAAATTTGTTTACACTAGCTTTTGACAGCAATTTTGCTTCTTCACCTATAAATTCTGTTCCCCTGTTGTTTTTGTGGAACCTCCATACAGCAGAAAGGAAAACAGGATTCTAAGTCATACTCTCGTATCTGAAAACTTTTTTTTTTTTTTTTCCCCCCTCTGTAAGGAGCTTTCGATGATGACTATGATTATTTACGTATCACATAAAGTATTACTTTATCTAGTAACTGTATATGCACATATGCAATACTACCATGCATCGTGTCTGGCTTTGTCTTATTCTCATTCTACTAAAATATCCTCCTCTTTTCATATTCAAAATCTCATATAAAAATTTATTTAGTCATCTTGAATGCTCACCTATGTGATCAGTCAGCATTGCCCCTTCTTTGTGCTTCCATAGGAAACTGATCTCTACTATTGGTACCTATTAAATGTCAGCTTCCTTCAGGAAAGCTTTTAATTACAGAGAAGCAATCAAGTACCAATTAACCAACTTTACAGTTACCTGGAAGAAAAACAGGAATGATGTCCAGTTCTTGAAGTAATTATCTGGCTCTAACAGGCAGGACTTAAACTGAAGCTTGCCTTGGGCTTTACTAACACAGCAAGTAGTACAGTGGAAAAAAAACACCAAAACAACAGATGCATGCTGTCAGAAGAAAGAAGCTGAAGTTACAGTGGTAGGAAAAGATCATTGAGGATCTTCCTATCTCAACTAAACTAGTTTTTTTTCATGTTACTTCAGCTGCACTGAGTGCCACAATTTGGTGATGATGCTCACATAAGCCTTGAACTTTTAATTCAATTCTTCTTCCTATATGGAGCTTTGCTGAATTCGTGGAAGTAAGGATCTGTTTACATGAATCAAAATACAGAATCCCTGCCATCACTAAGGAAACTGAGGTTTAAAATTTTAAACTGAAGCAAACAGGAAAAAAAATTCTCTTCAAATCATCAACATCAGATGGAAAAACAGGAAGAAATGTTAGACAAGGACAGTCTTTATGTGTGTATAATACTGAGGATGGTGAAGCATTGATCTCTAACTGATGCCTGTTGCAGTGACTCAAATAGTATCGATAAATAGCTGTCACTGACCTTTTTTTTTTTTTTCAGTGGAGGAGCCAAGGTCACAAAGCTCTATGATGCAGCTGCCTCCATGCATAGGAATAGTTGTGAGATTTTGATTTTTTTATTATTGTAACTAGAAGTATGCTATTTTGTAATAGCATGATATACTTACTGTAATATTGTACTTAAAAGTTTTAAAGACATGTAAAAAAATAACATTGTAATCTGGCATACATGAATACAGGATTTGATAGAAGGATGAAATTCCCGATTATGGAAGCTGGCTAAAACATAATAAAGCTGTAGGGTCTGTCACTATTATCAGGATTCTTTGTCCATCTGAGTTGAAAAGGACTCATGTACTCTAAATGTGTGGACCATTTGTAGTTTTTCATCTGTAATTTCAGTTTTTTATAACTTTATATTATGCCACATGCAATCACATTTCTTTCTCGCAGGAAAGTAAATGAATACTGGTATTCCCCTAAAATAAAGGACTGTGTAGCTGATAAGAAAAAGTAAAATCCTTTGGGTGCTCCATTTGCTGGACTCCATGAAGGTACAAGAAGAATTAAAACAAACTTTTAGATCTACGCAGTATTTGCCAGGACAGTATAGTAACAAGTATCAGTTGTCTGGCAAGGCATAATCTCCAGAGGGACCTGGACAGGCTTGAGAGCTGGACCCATGCCAACCTCATGAAGTTCAACAAGGCCAAGAGCAAGGTCCTGCATCTGGGTCAGGGCAAACTCAAGCACAGATACAGGCTGAGCGGAGAATGGCTTGAAAGCAGCTATGAGAAGGATTTGGGAGTGCTAGTTGATGAAAGATTCAACATGAACAAGCAATACATGCTTGCAGCCTAGAAAGCCAACCTTATGCAAATGGGTTGCATCAAAAGAAGTGTGACCAGCAGGTCAAGGGAGGTGATTCTGCCCCTCTACTCTGCTCTTGTGAGACCCCATCTGGAGTACTGTGTCCAGTTTTGGAGCCTTCAGAAAAAGGGCTCCACAGAAAAGCTGGGGAGGAACTTTTCACAAGGGCAGGTAGTGGCAAAACTACAAGAAATGGTCTTAAATTGGAAAAGGGTAGATTTAGAGTAGATATCAGGAAATTCTTTACTGTGAGCATGGTGAGACACTGGAACAGATTGCTCAGTGAGGCTGTGAATGCCCCTTTAAACTGGAATACAGAACTTTTAAATCGAGAATAATTTAAGACATCATTTAAATACTCGTGGAAATATGAATGGGAAAAGATGAAGACTAAAGTATGAAATCAGAAACTCAACAAATTCAGAATCATCTTTCTTTTTTCCTTTTCCCCATTCACAAGAGTCAGAAAACAGGTAAAAAGAAAATCACTGGTTACAACATTATCCAGGTTTCATTTGATGCTCTATAGTTATAAAGACAAATAGTGATTAGTCTGTCAAAAAAAGCTGAAGTAGGAAAAAAAAACAGCATAGAACAGACTGTAAAATGGCTCCACTACCCAAAAATTGTTAGGTAGTTTTTTTTTCTATTGCCAATTACCCAAATTACATGCAGGATGCTCACAGCACTGTATATTTAAAACCAATCCTGTATCAAAGATTTGAATCTTTTGCTCCTTCAAAATGAAAATCCAAGGATTTTGTTTGGGTATGTGTGTGGGTGTTAAGCTGATTTCAGTAAGAGATGTTTTGGTCTGATATAATTATAGAAACAGGATATAAGAAAATGAATGTTATTACATGGATCTTATTTTTAATGTGGATAGGCACCCCCCCTTTTATAACGTTACAGCCCGAAGGTTTTCCATTTTTGTTTCTAAGGTTCTATGAAGAAAAGGGCAGTATCCATTCAAAGACATGTAAACTATCCAAAAGCATCACATCAAATGCTAAAAAGTTAAGCTGCTGCTCCTGGTGTTATTGGTCAGCTGCAATATTAGTCTCAGGAATTCAGTCCCCCAAAAATGCAGTCCTCCAGTGCTACAAAAGAATTAAAAGATGACTTTTTGCTGCAGTGGAATGGTAATAATGATTTGCAGAATGGAATCTCAAGTTCCACTTCTTGGACAAGTTTTGCCTCAGAACAACTTAAAAATTGCTTGACATGAGCAAATAAAGGTAAACATGAAATACTTTTCACTGAAGTTGACGATGCTTGGAAATAAATCATTCCTGATATACAAAAGCAGGGAAAGATGAAAGAATTCCAATCCAATAACAAGAAGCTCACTCAGAGAAGTTTTCAATACTCATACCAGTTGCTTAGACAATTTTTACAAAGTTCATGACAGTTAATTCTGTTCTGAAAACAACTGCAGACCTTTTCTGAAAAGACTGTCTAAATATTTAAAGCTGGATATGTTTCATAAGAGGCAAACTATACTAAAGAAAAATGAGAGTCTTTGAACATACCATATACATCTTTTATATATAGAAGCCCAAGATTTGCATATTTAGGTTTAGAAGAGGTTTCTCTGCCTTCTGTCTTCTGGAGTTTGAACTAATGAGCTTTATTTAATTTGGCTTGAGTGAGGAGTTAGAGGCTTATCGAGAATGCAAAGATATTTCAATAGACTTGCCAGAGTACCAGAGACCAAGTTTCAGTGTGTTTAAAACCAGATTGAATACATAATCAATACAACAAATAATTCTGTGAGAAAATTTAGAAGCAAATGTAATTACAGAAGAGACTAAAACAGCGTCTAGTGAGGTTTTCCCCCACTTAAAGTTCTGTGTCCCTGTGACTGCAAGACACCAAATTAATCAGTTTTTTACTCTTATTATCTTGTCTTTAATTTAAAATAGAGACCATAATAAAAAAAAAAGTGTAGTGGGATTTTAGACTTCGAACAAAGATAGGCATGTTATTACTGCCATCTTACTGAGCTTCCATAATTTATGTTCCTCTGTTTTAAAACAACATACTGAGCACTTCCTGTGGAGTGCTTATCACCTGGAATGATCCACAACCAAGACTCAATAGTGCATATTCATATCAATATGATTCAACATGAGTATCATAGGGCAATAACTTTTTCCAGAAAGTGCTCAAGACTATCACAGTCAGGCCTACTTTTTCCTTCAGAAAGAACCTGATTCTACATAGTGCTAAAAATTAGATTACCACTTTAAGAATAAAAAGGAATACAGTAATAATAATGAAGATATTATAGATTTGGTTAATAAATGATGCAAGAAGTCTTAATGGCTACAAAGCCTTGCAGGACAATATCTGCTTCTACAGGGAAATAATATTGAAAAAAAAGGTAAGAAATTAAACAGTTATTAATTATTCTGTGAGCACCAGAACGAAAGAAGCTTGATTCCTTGTGTGCATTGGTAGGTGCTCCTAGCTCAGTGCCTTAGTCTCTTACTTATATCTTACATCATATCACTGCTCATAACAGCTTCTATAGCCTCTAGTGATTTGCTTTGCTTCTGTTCTGGATACCTCCAGTACCTCTTTGAACCCTCCCACAATAATTTCTGCTCTTTTCTGCTCTCATGCACCTCTGTCATGGTACTACTGGCTTTTCCTTATCTTGTTCCTCTACTTCCAGAGTACCTCAGCTTCCTCAAACAGTTCTCTCATGATAATGCTGTCAGCTTTACTCTACATCTATTACTTATCTACTATCATGTGATCTGATATTTCCAAAGGATACATTGCATTTTTTGTGATACTCACCACCAGCAGAATTGATAAAGTATTCTTTCAAAGCTGTGATTTTTTTTCAAAATTAACAACAAATATTTCTTTACAGAACCGAGGATCTGCTAAACAGATGACATGTAGAGGAAGAAGCTCAGAAGAGACATATGAATAAGCAAAATATAGATCAGTTTCAGACACCCATAAAAAGACAAAAATGATAAAAAAAGATGCATATCATTTAAATACACAGCTCCATGTATACAAAAATACTTCTACATTTGGAAAAAAAGAAATTAAATATAGCCACAGAAAATTTAAAATTTCTCACCCTGATGTATTTTCAGGAGAAAACACTTTTCCACAAGATGCCTCAAAGTCATTCAGTCACAGAATTCCACCAACATACCACGCACAATCAATAGTTGCCCAAGTAAAATAGGTAAGTGAATATATAAAAAAGAACTATTAATGGATGTCTACCAATGCACTGCCTTCTAATATGATGATGTCACAGACAGCCACAAAACAGTCAGTTAAAAATACACAGATTTAAAATGTATTCTTGTCCAAAAGACAGCAGCTAAGAAAATACTTTTTAAGGTAGGTTCAAAAGATAAAATCCCAGATACAGTGGAGTTGGTGGCAAGCAAAAAAGCAAGGATTGCCCATTTGTTTTAAAGTCTTTGTAGCACCAGAAGCATCATTAACATTAAATCTAATCTTCTGCATAACACAGGCATGAAACTTAAACATCCAGAACACCTTAAAAACATAGAGAGAGACAAAATGCTTCCCTCAAACAGCTTCTAGCCCCATTAATGATAAAATAGCAAATAAAAGAAAGAAAGAACAGGGGAAATAAACAGAACAAATCTGGTGTAATTTTAGTTGTGACAGCATGCACACCTTCAGATTTACATCCTTTAAAGGAATTTTAAAAAATAAACAGACAAGTAAGTCCACAAATACACAAGTGATATATTTATCAAAAAATACTTCCTTAGGAATTCTGAGAGATTATAGAAACATTGGATATTCAAATCCTGCTGTCACTGTAGGTTTTACTGTTGACGCAGGCTACATGATGTGGAAATGAAGAACTGTAAAGGCAGTTAGAGAAAAGAAGAGTGTGTAAGAGCTCCCAGCTTCCACAGTCAGTTCTGCCATTGTTGTTTTCTTTTTTTTTTTTTGTGGACTTCCACACATGATCTCAACTTTTTAAATATTAGAGAGTCTATTATCATCTGAATTTTTGCCTTTGATATATGGAAATCAAAATGAAATTCTGTAGTTGGAAGAACAAGAGCAAGATATATACAGGAAAAACTTTCATCTTTTTCTTTTTTTTCCCAAGTGCTTTACCGTAAGTGCAGATCCACAGTCAAAACCAAAAAACAGAATAAGGAGACCAAAGACACACACTGAGGACTGTTATTGAGGCTTCATAGTTGTGACCATCAATAACTGTCTTTGACAAATCCTAAAGTCATGTACTCAACCTGACAGTTGAGAGCAGGATTTGTGTTAAGAATATTATTCATTAATATATATCACAACGATAAATGCAAAATATTCACTCTCCCACCAGAAGTGTGTAAATTTATGGAAAATAGATTACAGTGGCTGAAGCGTGTAGTGAAAAAAATGTGATAGAATGTGGATATAAACTACTGTATTTAGAACAAAATGCAATACGTAGTACTTTCATATAATACATGACACATGATACACTGGATTATTCTTAGTAATAATCAGTGAGAAAAAAACATTCATTATTTCTCTCTTTTGTAGATACTTGGAAGCATTTTTAAGAATAAACTACTGAATCTTCTCTTCTGATGTTGAAATTCTTCTGGTTTTGGGTTTTTGTTTTTTTTTTTTTTTCAGCGTAACATCTTTTTGTTTGTTTAATTATTTTTGAATTAAACTAATAAATGTGATCTTCATAACTTGGAATGAACCACCATATTTTTCGGTAGGGCCAATGGTATTTTGTTTATGAACACCACAGTTTATTGCCAAAAGCCACTTGAAGCTAAATTCAGAACTTTTGAAATGCTGTGGACAATTCATTAAGTATGTAGGCAAAGATATTTTCCTACACATCAAGTAAATTGGAGTTTTCATTAGGGAGACAGCTACACATTTTAAAATTTTTTGTCTAAAAGTTCTTATCTACACTCTTCTTCGTCACTACCAAACAAGATGTGCTGCTGAGTTAGGTAGTATTATTCCTTTGTGCAAGCAAAAAGCACCAGTAAATTTCAGAGTTATGTGATTCAATGAAAGCAAAGACCTGTATGTTACATAGTAATTACTCAGAGACCAGCTAAGAAAAAAAGCATCGCTGTAAAACTAGAAGATTGTTTCACTGTAAAACTAGAGGATTACCTTGAACAGATGGGATGGTTGGATATAAATTTTTCTTAATGCACAAGCATTTCCTCTTTATTTATTTAAAAGTTTATTTTATTATCCGGTATCATCTCAACACTAGGAAGCTCAGGCTTAAGGACTTCATGTCAGCATCCTGATGAACTTCTAGTCATGTTTGTTCTAAAATTTTTGAAACAAACCCCAGGGGATCTCACATGATTTATTCAAGGCAAATGCTGCTGACTCAGACAGAAAAATGATTGCAAGTGTTTTGATAAAGAAATTATAAAGTGCTTAAGCAGACACTTTAAACTGTTTCTTACAAAGAAGCTGTTCTGAACAAAAAGCAAATCAATACAACATCAGTTCATGATGGTACAACAGGTGGAATGTCCATCTGTCACAAGAAATACATTAAAAAAGTCATCAAGGTGCATAAAGAACAGCCTTGCAGGTTCTGCTTCACTGCCTCCTCTGAAGTCTAGGTATATCGCCATAGGACAAGTCAGATTCTTACTGGCCTACTCTCTATATTAACCTAGATTGGCCAACAAATCTAATTACAGGTAAGAGTACTCCTACTTTTAAAAGGCCCTTTTTTATATATATAGTTCTCATTTATAATATCTGTAAGAAAAATGACACAGCAGAATGTGGGTTCTTTGGAGATAACACGCCTGGTGGCTTTTCTTTCATATCCATAAATATTCACTGAAGGTGATCATTTCTCGTTGAAGACAGAAACAGAACTTCTACTCATTTCAGGCTCTGAGCCTCAGTGCAAGAACCGTATGAGCTACTATCTTCTGAGCATGGAAACCTCAAGGAAACCCAAAGGATTCTTAAGAAAACTCAGGACCAAAGTACACAGACTAGAGTCTTCAGAAGTAGTTCAGCAAATTAAAATCAGAACATCATCTCTTTGAGACAGTAACATTTTAATGCATTTTCTCATCTCAGAGTGAAACAAAAGCTGAAATTCTTGTTTATTGTGCTGAACAAAATATTTAGAAAAAAATCCAGTGCAGAAATAAGGCAATACTTAATTTCAGCTTTTTCACAACTGAAACACTTTCATATGGCCAAACTGAAGTGGTGTATTTAATATTCAGACCACATGTCTTTAATGAAGCACCACCCATTGCATTTGAAAAGAGTCCCAGCTCCACAAGAGAGAGCATGGCTATGAGACATATAGCAAAACAGCTGCAGAGGGATACACATTTCAGTATATACTGACTTAAAATGAAACATTTCAGATTATTTCAGCAAACCAGAATATTTTGTTTCATATTCAGCCAACTGGAAAGTATCTATTTCTTTTTTTGGTTTTCCTATGAGAAAGCAGAAAGAATCTACATAAAAGATTTTTCCTATGGAAAAATAAAAAATAGATATTGCAACAGTACAATTTCCATAAGGAGGAAAAGAGAAGCCAAAACATTTAGACAGAAAATCCTCAGATCTCTCAAAGGTATCTGAAGGTATTTAAAAATTCATTTGAGCTGCACAGAACAGATCCAGCAGGACTCCAGAAACTTAGTCAATCTTTTTTATACAATAGGTTCCTAAGGAGATTTTCTGAACCAAAATTTAGTAACAGCACTCAAAAACGAGTTGCTTTTTGGCTACTGCTCAGATGCTTTCATCAGGCTAACAAAGATTCAAAGCTGCTTTTTCTCATTGCTTTGTGTGTGTGTGTGTGTGTGTGTGTGTGTGTGTGTGTGTGTGTCAGATGATCAGTCACTGACTTGAACTTTCTGCGGTCTGAGATCTTATGACATTTTTTCCAGGTAATTAATAGACAATATAGCAAAAGTTGTATTTCCATTATCATTGCTTTAATTAGTTTATATGAACAAGAAAAGAGTTTGTATTCCAAGAATTGTAAATCAGCTGGTAACAACTAGCTTTAAATATATTTATAAATAATCTAAAAGGTCAGAAAATATTATAGAATAGACATGCTTTTTATTTATGCTCTATATCTTGTTGTAACAGGAAAATTAATTCCTTGGTCTTTGCATCTCCTCAAAGCAGACAAGGAATCTTTTCTACAGTAGCATCATATTGGCTGCATCATTTTGCCTCCTAAACACAATCGGTATCTAAGCATGTTTTTTTCTTAGCCAAACTCTCCTTCCCATACCTCTATCTGACAAATGCCAAACATGAATTCAGCTGCATTCAGAAGAATGAGGAAAGAAGTAAACAAAATCAAAACAACCAGAGAACTTTGTAGTCGCCAAAAGCAGCAAATACACACCTGCCACATGGTCAGGGCTTTCTTTAGCACGAAGTGTCATATGTGAATAATGTCTGAACATTTGTGTGAGAGATTGCTGTTTAACAGGAAAGTAGGTGTGTGTCTTTCAAGTGAAGCCTGCAGAAGCTGGATTTCAGAAAAAAAAAAAAGTCAAATGCATGTGCCTATATTAATGCCTAAATGTAGAAAAGTGGAGTAGCAAATTAAATAATGAAGGATAAATCAAACATCCATGTGTTTCTTTTTTTTTTTTCAGATGCTCATTTGCCATTTACCCTCAGCTGTTTCTGAAGAGTATGAAAGCTGATTACTCAAATAAGTTTATGCCAGTGATTGATCATTTCTGCTAATGACCACAACTCTTCTTCTATGGGGAATAGAAAAAGTAGTACAACAAAACCAAATCAAAAGTCAGAAGTTTTTGGTAATATCTCTGCTAAGTATTATTCACCAATCTTGAACTGGAATGCGGATGCAAAAAAATCCTTATTTACTCAGGATTCACTTAGAACTTAGTAACATTTCAGAATGCTACTGGGAAAAGTGCAGCAGGATTCTGTTTACTGTTTTTTACAGTATAAATAATTCAGAGAGTAACAGTACTTTTAATAAATCTAGCTATGCCACTGAAGTCTAAGAACACTATGCCACAGCTTAGAACTACAAAAAAAAAAAAAAAAAAAAAGCAGAAAATCATTTGTCAACAGTGCAGTAATCTTGTTATTACGTGCCAGGTAGGTTTTGTATTTGGTTCAAATTGCTTTGTTCTTTGGAAAATGCTACTGGATAAAATATATTTGGCCAGTAAAGTAACTAGAGAAATTATTGTTGTGGGAAGGAAATAACTGGATCAGTCTACCTATAATAAAATTAATCTGAAACTCAGCCCAACAATAAGCAAATCTAGTATTTTAAATGTTTAAAAGTTTCTGTGAGGTTATTTCTCATATCTCAATGCTTCTGTTTCAGCCAGAACTGAAATTGGAAATGCCAAAGTACTGTGAGAAGGGCTGTTCTGTATTACAGCTGACCCAAATGAAACAAGGAAGTACTGCAGAAGCACAGGACAGTCTATTTGAAGGAGGCTGCCATCCAGTTTCCAGACTACAGAAGTTTGGATGAGGTCGGATAAACTCTGGAAACTGTTAAACTTCTGGATGTATATCTGAACTGAACCACCAGATCTTTGTGACTCATGCTTTACTGATGCCCACTTTTTGTGGAGATGAGTAGAAATAAAATAGTTTTACTTTGGGAAAGAATGTAGGAAACGTTGCACAAACCAGAAGATTGCTTGCATTATCCTGAAGATTAGAAATGGATTATAATCTCTAATTCTGATTGCACTGAACAAGTTAAGTAAAGAGTAGCTGGATAGCTGGGCTGAAGCCAACGGGATGAGTTTCAACAAGGCTAAATGCTGGGTCCTACACTTTGGCCACAACAACCCCAGGCAATGCTACAGGCTTGGGGCAGAGTGGCTGGAAGCCTACATAGAGGAAATGGGCCTGGGGGTATTGATTGACGCTCAGCTGAACAGGAGCCAGCAGTGTGCCCAGGTGGCCAAGAGGCTTGCATCAGAAACAGCGTTGCCAGCAGGAACAGGGAAATGATTCCCCCCCCTGTACTCAGCTCTGGTGAGGCCACACCTTGTGTACTATGTTCAGTTTTAGGCACCTCACTGCAAAACATTGAAGCCCTTGAGTAGGTTCAAAGAAGGGCAACAAAGCTCATGAGGAGTCTGGAGCACACGGCTTATGAGTAGTAGCACATGGCTAAGGGAGCTGGGATTGTTCCATCTGGAGAAGAGGGAGCTCAGGGGAGACCTTATCGCTCTCTGAAACTACATGAAGGGAGGCTGTAGCGATAGAACTAGAGGAAACGGCTTCAAGCTGCACCAGGGAAGATTTAGGCTGGATGTTAGGAAATACTACTTTTCTGAAAGAGTGGTCAGGTGCTAGAATGGGCTGCCCAGGGAGGTGGTGGAGTCACCAGCCCTGGAGGTGTTCAAGGAACATTTGGATTTTGTGTTGAGGGATATGGTTTAGTGAGAACTATCAATGATGGGTGAATGGTTAGACTGGATGATCTTGTAGGACTTCCCCAAGCTTAGTGTTTCTGTGATTCTGTGCATATGCCCTTGAAGTCAATTGAGATAAACTGGTTCATCTGGAAGGCAACTTCTGTGATATCTGTTAATGACATGCAGCTAAATTGGAGACATTCTGGGCCTTACTTATCCATCACCTAAACTGCAATTGCTTCAATGATAGATATTTCATTAGGAATAGAGTTGGTTCACTAATCCTAGTTTGTTTCATTTTTCTCCCCAGTTGATGTTGTTCTGCCAGAGTTTATAATGGTGACTGTGTTGGAGCAACATTTATGGTCACAGTGGCTTAGTCTCTCACAGTCGTATCTGTTGTCTATTTGCAAATCAAAGCTTGACTTGTAAATCCAGAATTACAGAATCACATAAATAGGTATCATATAGTTTTGGGCTTGAAAATGAAAGCTGTGACCTGGCTTTGCTCATTAAAAACAGATGTTTTTCATCTCCTTGAAGTCTTAACACAAACCAGCACTATGAATAAGGTGCTCTCTCTTGTCAGTAAGCACTTACTTTAGAACTTTATTGTATTTTGATTATTTAAATAATCAAATGCTTACATTAATATTCTTAAGCAAAATCTTAGCCTAATTTTTTCATGTATATAACCTAGAAAATAGATATGGGGAAATGCCTTCATTCTATACTCAGTTTACAAAGCCACAGGGGGTGGGATCTTTCAAGGAACTGGACTGGAGCAACACACAAAACCCAGAAGTCACCCTTGCAATGTTTCAGAGGTGGCAGATCAGATACAAAGTTACCTTAGAGTTTCTGTAGCTCTGGAGCATACCGCTCAAGATCATCACTGGGGTTTGCCGCCAGCTGCTATCATTCTCAGTGACCCTAGGAAGTGCTGTCCCACATTTCTGCATGCAATGAGTGGAGGGGTGAAGACATGGCCCAGCTAATCCCTGTTGCTCATGCCAGTGCTGAGAAGGAAGTCTTCACCCAGCAGGCTCATTCATCTCAGCCAGCAAATCCAGTGTTTGCTGGGGAGTGCGCTCCAGCCAAGCTTGCCATGGCCAGAGCACGGTGCAGAAGGGAAGCTGCTCCAAGCTGAATGGCCTCTTTGTTCTCTGCCACAGCCACTGCACTCGCAACTCCAGCAGATACAACAGGGGCTGTATGAGAGCCGAATGGAAATGAGATGCTGGCTCCCCTGAAAACATTCTACTTCTTTCCATTAAAGCTGCAGAGGAATTCTGGCAACCGAAAAACAGTCCTTCCTATCCAGCAATATTTTCCTGTCTGTAACAGCCTAAGAAACCAAAAGCACAGACTGAAGCTAAAATACAGAGTAGATGAGCATGTATGGGCACTTTATATGTTGGTTGGCTACTCTGCAAAACAGAACCACAGCCTGCTGGCAAATTAAAGGCAAAAAAATCATACAGAGGCTGCAGGCTACCTGCAAATCTTTGAATTCACCCAAGCATGAGCAGAACTGCAAGGCACCCAGGACACATCATTCGCTAAACAATTTAATGTGCTTCTGCCACAAAGTTAAATAGTTTAACTCCTGATCTGTACACCTTTATCAGCATCGTTATGGGTCCAAATGCACATCTGATAATTAAGAAAGCTGTGAAAAAATGATGAGTTTGATTTCTTCCAAGCTGGGGTAAACTGGCAGCAAGCAATGGGATGCCATATCTTCTAATAAATGCTACGGGTTTTCCTTTTCATCATCTGCTTAGCTAGAGTTCGTCTATTAATGAAGAATCCTCTACTTTCATAATTCATTTTGGAAAAACAATATTCAGAGTGCTTTTCTCAAAACCCTTTCCTATATAGACCCCATTCATACCTACAGTGACATAAAATGCCAAAATTCATTTGCAAGTGAGACTTCAGGCCAGTCAGTTTAGAGAAAACAACTGTACAGCAGATGAGAAACAGGAATTGTATCACATTAAATATAAAATATGTTCCTATTGGTGGCATAAAACAACTTTGAAAAACAAGTCATGTAATTAAAAGAGCAGTGTTTGCAGTAGCAGAGTTACTTGCTATTATCAGTGCTGATTTGCTCATCACCTAGCTAGGTGTTGCTTAATTCTAATGTGTATATCCTGGTGGTAAAAGTTCACAGAAGATTTTAGATGCGGTGTTTCCTATAGCCTACACAACCTCTGTGCTGGATCTTTCAGTTGATTACAGTCATGGAAAAAAAAAAACAAAAAAAAACAATCACATGAAAAATCTCATGACTTCGTTTTGGAAATGCTTATGTCTCAAGCCCTTATTCAAGGGAAAAATCCCATTGGTGTAAATAAATACAGGATGTGGAATATATAGAATCCTTGCTTTGTAACAGTTCACACAAGCTTCAGCTGCACGTTTACTCGGGGAAATAAAGGAAAGCTAAGAAACTCTTTTACTTCTCTGCATTTCACTAGAGTAAGCACAACTACAGCAGCAGTTCTGCTTAGCAACTTTTAAGTGGCTATTAACATGTTGACCAGAACATTCATCGGCTTCAAGGAGGTGCTCAGCTGCTCAAAAGATCAGGTCATAGGTACTTAACTGTTCCTGAGCACAAAATAACCGAAACTATACAATTACATACCTACAGAAAATACTTTTGAAATGAAAGCTCAGGTAGATCACGGGCCTGAGAAATTTTTCTGCCCACAAGGCCTCAAACTTGTCAATGAATATGAATGCAGAATTTGAACCTGAAATAGTGAGATTCCCAGTGGTCTTTCTGTGAAACTTTAAAGCTGTAATCACAAAGAGAGCTTTTCAAAGTGATTGGTATGTAAGACACTAAGCTTTGAAAGTCAGGAACAGTGCAACCAGAAATGCACGTTGAACAAAATTCATTTAGATAGCTTTCTAGAAGAGAATGTATCTTAAGAACACCTGCTCATACCCATCCTTGGACAGTACTACATCTGGAGCTACATGAACATTGTGACTACATGGATAGAAATTGAACCAAAAAAAAAAAAATGGTAAATATCCATTAAAAATACATTTAGTCATTCTTTTCACTTGCAAATAAAACAGATGGACATTCTGCCTTTTACTTGATGCTGAAAGTTTGTAGTTCATGAACACAGAGATAAAACAACATGAAAAATAAAGCAAAGCATTCTTCATAAACTGGGAAATAGGCAGTGTATTCATGATAACATCTGCTACATTATCTAACAGATAATTTTTGAAAAGTTAAAAGCTGTATTTGCTTATTAGCTCATGAGTGCTTTTCTATACTTGTTATTTACCTAGAGGCTAGAAAAGTAGAACAAAGCCAAGCCTTTGTTTGCTTAGTGACCTATCAAGCAGTTGCACAGAATTATTTTTAAGTAGACCCAATGGCAGCTCTTTTGAGTTGCTGTCGGAGTTTTTGTTTACCTTGCTGTAAATGCAATAATGGCAAGGTGGGGTATTATTCACTCAGTAGGCAGGACCCTAAAATTCTGAATGCTCCACTGTTTACCAAGTCACCGGACAAATGAGTGCTGGGCTGGACCATGTTTACCCAAATTCTGGACTACTGACAACTGGGTGTGGCTTTACCCAACTGTTACTCGCGCAGTTCTGAAAAGAAGCTCAACTTAACTGCAGTGTCTTAAGGAAATAATAGAGACTTGGTAGGAGGAACTAATACTTATTTAAGGCATGACATATTAATTAGGAACTATATCTGGATAGCGTGACCAAAGGCTAAAAGTTAACTGGTTTTGAGATAGAAAAAGATTTCTCAGTTCTAACTTCGTGAGTAACAGTTAAATAAAAGGAACATCTGTTTATCAAAGGCAACATGCTGCTTCTAATTAAACCATCATTTGTTTGATACTATATTAGTAACTAGGGATGAAGCTTACACCCTCCAATAGACAAACTTTAAGACTTCCTTCTCCAGTTCTCTATACTGCCAGAGGAAAAAATGCAAGTTCTCTGGTTTCATATTTTGAATAGGTGTTGCCTCATTATGGGAGATATAAAAACTGAGAGAGACATTATGCATTACGTAACGCAGTTCGTGTGGCAATGTATGCTTAAAGTTATAGCTTAACGACTAAAGGGAAAACTAAACCAAATAAGTGTTTAGCTGCTGTGAACCTGAATTGAGGAAAGTTTTCTTAAGGTGTGCAATGACAAGAGTTTTCAAATGCTTTTAAGAACAGTAAAGAGTTTGAAGTACTCTGAGTTATAATGATAAGGCCTGGACCTTGGAAGGAGGTTATTACAGCTCTGTAGGTCTCATGCCTTTCAGCTTCATTGCATGGCTCATCTATTTCAAGGGAATTATCTATTTATTTCCAAGATTTTTTTTTTTTTTTTTTTTTTTTAAATAGTCATCATTTAAAGCAGTAAATCACAAGGGTTTGTTTGTTTTAACTTGCACTGTGCTTATTCATAAAGAATAAAAAAAATAATTATAGAACTCATATTCTATTTTCTAGCATTACTTGGCAGATGGGTGTGATTTTTGAAGAGTGAGTTTTTGGCAAAGCTACTATGAAGCGGTTACAGTATACATAGCAATTGGATGGATAAATACGATGGGAAAGGAGTTACAACAAAAGCACAAGGACAGAAGGACCAACACAATAGTAAGGAGCTGTAAAGGAAGAAGATTGCTTACCTGTATCAGAAAATTCCAAGTTTACAGGGGAAAGCTTCACAAAGGAGGGATCTCCAAAAAAAGATCCTTCCCCAGTGGCAGTCAGCCCTTAAATGAGGTCTAAGAGAGGTGCAGCCAGGCTCCACTCCTTCCGGTCACACATGTGAATTGCCTTCACCTGTGCTCCCAGGGTTGACCTGTTCCTTTCCCAGGTGATCAATCAGTGGTTCAGGCCCTGACTCAAAAGTTCCCACAGACTATGAAGTTCTCTTTTCCTTTTTTATTCCCTCACCATAAGAAATATCATTGCTTATATGTAGCCTAATTTGCAATAAAACAGAAAGTATTAATACAGAACACACCTTAAGAGTACTATATATCCAAATACACAACTTTCAAGATGTTGCTAAAGCCATTAATTCTATGTTATGTCTTGATCCACAACTACTTTAGCCTGCTTTGCAGCCTCCTGCTTCTAAGTCTACCCACACAACTTTGAGCATCATCTCCTGTTGCACCTCCTGTTTTTAAGAAATTTCTATGTCAAAATATCAGCCATATACAAACATATGATTTTGCTTTGTGATGCTGTTGCTCTTTGTAATGATAGTATCTGATCAATACGTACACAGCGGTTCAACCCTTGAGATCTGCGATCAGATTTTCTCTTCTTTATGTCCACAGCCATGGTGATCCAGACATTGTTTCCTACCCATTTTGGCGCTCTTGCATTTAGTTTCTATTAAGCAAATATCTGCATTTGTGTAATGTTTGCATTTCTTTTCTAGTTTCAAAAAACCATAATCTTAAACTCTTGAAGAATACATTATATGGTATTGAGAGATGTTTCCTAAAGGTCTCCCAAGGTTCTTAAAGAGCTATGCTGGCCAACTGCCATATAGAATAACACTAACTACTGACTCCAGAAAGTTTTTATCAGAACTGCTCTGATGGTCACAACCCATGTTTCATCAAACTAGATTTATTCAAAGCCAATTTTTTTTACTAGAGCCTGTTGCTCTTTGTATTTGTTAAATAGTCTAGAAGAGCTGATCAGAATCAAAATCTCTCCTGGCTTTTTATTAAATTTACAAATCACACTTTTTTTTTAGCTAAAAAACCATCTTTCTTGTACACAGGACATCATTTAGTAAAACAACTCTCTTATAAAGGGGAATAAGTAATAATTAATAGTAATATCAAGGAGAATAGTAATAATAAATAAGGTGAATCTTTCTATGATTAAGGTCAACATAATCATCTTACTTGTGTGCATACTGACAATTATTTATTATTAATGCCTGTGGTGCATAACTTACTGGTCTTCACTTCCGTTGAAAGAAAAGTACTATTGCCTGTTCTTGAGCTGTCCATGGACAATTTAGTTTTGTATTATTCGGTATAATAGCACTACCTTACTGCCCCTTTGAGTGCTTCAAGACAGCACCAACTCTCCATTTCCATTGAACATACTGCATACTAATACTCCTAGGTTGATAACTTGATGTTTCAATTAGGAACATTTTTCTCTGTGAATTTCATGACCTCAAAGAATGTGTTTCCTTGTTATATTGGGATTTTAGCTGTTCTAACTTTATTGTTCTGGTACTATGTGCTGTTCAGAAATTACTCAGAGCCAAGGAACAGAAGGACATCTGCTTCATTAACCGTCAAAATTATGCAATAAAATAAGAAAAAATGACAGTTATTATTATCTGCCCATGATAACAACCCATTCTTAGTGGCTTATCTAGCCTGTCTACAGATTTTCCAAGGGGTAAAACAGTCACCTGATTTGGACTATACATTTTCTAGCATGGTTGCTACTACTTCTCTCAATGGTGGACTGATTATGTTTTTTGCACTGTATAAAATACTCTAATGTCTTTTGGTTCATGTCTGCTGAGCTGAAACTGAAGATGGGGGTACGAGACATAGGATCACAGAAAGCAGGTAAAATTCAAATCTCAGTTCTCAAGTTTGAGTTCAACAGTAATAACAGCACCTTTCTATTACCAGGTTGCCCGTATTGGTGTCAAGGGGAAGGAAACACAAGCATATAGGTGAGAAATCACACACCTTTCAGACTCTGATCTGAATAGCTAAAGTATTAGGATTGCTGAGTAAGCAGAGGAGTTTACTTCAGGCTGGACACAGGTAAAGAAGGTCTCCATCCAGTTTAAGTGGGATGAAATGTCTCTTCTGGGAAGAAGAGATGAAGGTTTCATGGAAAGACAGTTAAGCACAGTAAAGTTGTGCAATTGCACAGCATCTAAATGCTGTCAGAACTGGCAGGCTGTTAGGATCCTTATTACGGTTCTATACACTAAGATGAAGAGTATAAAAATAGCATGGGAAAAAGTACTGAATATTCTGATAGACAGTAGTGTATACCATAAACTCCTTGCACTGATCAAAAATAACATTTTTGTTAATCTGTAACTGACAGTAGGAGGTAGAAAGGCAAGCTGCATCTAAGATACCACATACAACTCAGTGAACAAAATTTCTGAACAGGAACTATTTACTGCAAGCTGAAATTTCAGTTTGGAGAAGCAGCTAGTGATGCTGGTGTCAAATACATTACACATAGTGAAATATATACTGAAAGATCTGTTGATGGATAAGCTTTCCATAAATATGCTCTCATAGCATTTAAGACAGAGTTGAAAAAAGCCAAATGAAAAGCAACAGATGGGCAAACAATCTCACATGAGGAAAGGAAACAGCATATTCAAAGCAGGCAGGAATTTGGTGGGAAACATGACAATTGCTGTTCAATGCTCAGACTTCGAC